ATATATATATATATATATATATATATATATATATATCTGATATATATATCAGGTTCTAACACCTACTAGGAAAGTCTTTTAGAATATTAAAATAGCAGTAAGCAAATATGTACTATAGGTTTCAACACTAGCACTGAAAACAAACAAACAAAGAATGAATCAACAAAATTTTCCTCTTGTTTCTGCTCTCTCAGATTCTGGACTTTATGATCATTACAGGGGAGGGGGGTTTATGAACCACACTCCTTCCATTTTAAAACAAATGACATAGTGGAAGTCAGATATGTCTTTTGAAAGCACTGATGGGAAAGCCCACGTGAGTTGAGTGGGGATGCTCTTCCTTACGAAGAGAGCTAAACAGGTTCTGTCTCTAATAAATTAGTACACTCTTTTAAGATTAAAAATAGCAAAAACACTTTAAATAGTCTAATTATAGCTTCAACAAGTCAAACATACATTTCTATCTAGCCTATAGTTTTAAGGAGTCTATGTGGGTTTAACTTATCATCCCTCATTCCAATATAAAAAAAAGAATATGAAAAGAACCAAGTCATTTTTGAACACTAAGATACTCATTAAGACTATATAAAGTAAAAAACAAAAACAACAAGAACAAAACACAAAAAATCTTCACAGATTATTAGCCATCTCTTTCAATGATTTCTTATAAATTCTTCTCTCTCCTTATCAGTAGATAGCCCCCATCTCACAAGAAAGTACTTCCCAACACTTCTCAATGAGATCAGTGATTCTTTCCATGTGAACCACTGCTCTCTGTCTGAAATGTTCAGGTGAAGGGAGAATATCCTCTACAAACCAGTAAATGCCAAAGAATTACCCAAGGGGGTTGTGGCAGAAGCGATTTTGAGCAGGTGGATTTATGTATTTTTTTCTCTTTGTTTTTATTCTCTCCATGTGGTGAATATCTGTTTTTAGAGCAGAGAGCATAAAATGAGTAACTAACTTTATCATCCTTTGGTTCTGACATTTGCCTACAAGACCTTTTTTTTTTTTTTTTTTCTCCCCATTTATACTCTATGCTCGATCAAGGTGTTTACATAGGATAATATGTCACTAATTTTGCTGAGTTTGAGAGCCAACAAAATAATGGAGCCTTCTAACTTTTAGACATTTCCATCTCCTGCCCTTGCATGCCCAAACTCACAATTTGGTGAACAGTACGTTTATTTGTGAGTGATAAAAAGTTGAAAGGTGGTGGTGACTAGAACTAATGCTATTTTATTAAGCCATCTATCTATAGAATTGTTGTTTTCGTACTTTAAAAAAATATGTCTATGCTTTCTTTTTTTTTCTTTTTTCTTTTTTTAGTCAAGTACTTTCTTAAAGAAACAATAGCACCACATTATCATAGCTGGCCAAACAATAAATGGGAAAGCAAAACGTGCTACATCTTTCACTCTAATCCTTTTCCCAAGTGCATAAACTAGTAACAGAAACTCTGGAGCCGCAGTGCATAACATAGTTTCATCTACACAAAACTGATATTCCAAGGAGGGGGAAAATTTTTAAGGGAGGCTAGAGTTTTTGTTTTTGTTTTCTGAAGATTTTCAAGAAGTGATTTTTTTTTCTCTTCTCAGGATTCCATTGGACATTGGAATTCCATTGGACATTGGTGTGTGTGTGTGTGTGCGCACAGGTGTTGAGAGAATTTTTCTTTATCACTAGAAGAGCAGATCCTGATGGAAAGAGGCTTAATCTTTTCATTTCATTTAAAAATGTTTAAGTAATAAATACTATTATACTATTTGGGGAGATGGGAACAGAAATTTGACCTAAGTACTGTTAATTAAAGTGGAAAAAGCCTACCCACTGAAAGCTCATTTTTACCAATATTTGCAGCTGCTCATAAATATCCTGAAGTTGTCTCATTTTAAAATTCTATAGTAATAAAAGTCTAAAGCAAAGCTTATGAAATTTTGAGTCAGGAAATTTTAGGCGCTCCTTTTCTATCAATTCTGGGTCACTCCATCATAGAATAGATTCATCAACTGACTTTCAGAGTTTATATCACTTTGTCTTCTAGTCTTTATTCTTTTGAAAATAAATACTGTATAGTATTTATACAGTCAGTATAGTAGCTGATTTTTAACTAGTCAATTTATGAGCCAATAGAAGAGGGTCGTGTGTTGGCCAAAGTTAAGAAACATAACATGGCTTTGCATGCTTAAGCTTTCCTCACTGGGAGATTTTTGGCTGGAACTAGAACTGTTAAATCAATAAATCAAGTCACAGATACCCTTAGAATGACCATATCCATCTATGTCAGGAAACCTATAAGTTGGCAGAATTCTACTTGTAAAGTTGTCGGAAGTCAGTAATTAAAAAATGTACACACAGCGAACAAGAAATATGATCTGTGGGCAGAACAGCCTAGGATCTCATTCTATAGAACCTGCATGTCTGTAATACAGGAGGCAGACAAAAATGACTACTTAATTTCTTTTATATCTATCCATAGTAGTCAGAGCCTCACTCAGCATGCCTGAGGTGCTCAATTCAAATTATGCTGTGAACTGAGAGAGTTAACAGGCTTGTTGACTGAGCAAGAGGGCTCCATAAAAGAGGGTGGTCTTGATGCAGATAGTCAGAGATCCAGAAGTCTCTTTTCTGGCCTCTGAACTTTGAGATGACCCTTAGAGAGGAAAACTGAAGATGTTATTACTTTTGTTTTCCATATATACTTTTCAAGAATATAAAGGATAAAGTTTGCATGATAATCAAGCCTGGACACTTATCACAGAAGAGTTCTAAGGCAGGTTAAAAAGAGCCGAATGTTTGGTGATTTATTGTTCTAATAAGGTAATCTTAATCCATAGATGGAAACCTTCTCTAGGCTGCTATGGGTTCATCCTCACCATTTAATTTTCTCCATAGCAATTTTCAGTGGAATGATTAAGAGATCAGTAAGTAGGGGCCACTCTCCTAAGCAGATATGTGGAAACCCTGACTGTGAATGAATTGAAAAACCAAAAAAACAAACTCACTACTGTCGAGTCGATTTCGACTCATAGAGGCCCCTCCTTGGGTTTCCCAGGCAGTATCGCTATGGAAGTAGATTGCCCAAACTTCTTTCCGAGGAGTGGCTGGTGGATTTGAACTTTCAGCCTTCTGGTTAGCAGTCAAATGCCTTAGGCACTACGATACCAGAGCTCCTGTGAATGAATTACTGCCTCTCAAATAGCTACTCTAGTCCAGCGTATTTTAATGAAAATTATGCACACATGCACACACACACACACACAAGTAAAAGTAAACTTCATTAAGGAAAGTAACTTTGTGATTTTGTTAGCTATTATTTCAATGCTTAAACTGTTAGGCCATTTTTCTTGTATTACCTAAAGAGAAGAAATAAATATATTCCTCAAAATGAAGAGAGTTATCACTTAAAAAATCAAGAGGAATTACTGGATAGATAGGAACTGCCAGGAGAATCAGTGAGTTCTAAGAAGTGGAGAGTTTAACCACTCTTTCACTGAATAAAATGTCTTATTGTTAAAAATCTTTCCATTTTTCTCCTTTCTCTTTTCCTTTCTTGCTTGCTATCTTGCTTATCTTTGCATTTCTAAATCCAAATGCGGAATTCAAAATAAAAGTAGACATTAGATGTTTCTAGCTTATTTTGGAAAGTATTTGCTAAGCTGTTAAGTTGTTTGGAGAGCTTCATTGACAACAATTGTGATATCAGATGCATTGGGTTAATCAGTTCCCTAGCTATGCTGTGAAAGGGTTGTGTATAGAATTGCTTGCATTCCAGCAACTCAAAGGGCTCTGCCATTACATCCTCAGAGCAACCCAGGGCAAAAATATGGAGCATTATCTTTTGAATCATCACACCACCCCTGTGAGGTAGGTAGATGATGTATTGCCCCCATTTTGCAGATAAGGAAACTGAGGCACAGAGCGGTGAAGTGACTTGTCCAAGGTCACATGATGGTGAGTCCACGGCAGAGCCAGTAGATATTTGTTCCTTTAGTGAGAAAAAGCAACCAGAAATATTAAGATTCTTAGCCTTATGCTTTTTGTATTCATGGCTTCCTCTTTGGACACGCCAATCAAGTTTGCATTGGTAGACTTTTTTGTGTGTCTTAATTTCCTTTTGGAAGGCATAACTGGGGGGACTTGGCTTTCTTCCCCAAGTGGATGGGTTTTTCGATACCCTTCCTCTTTGTGTGATCTTCGACTCCAGGCTCCATCATTTGTTTTGCTTTCACCTTTTACTGTTTTGGCCAGATTCTTTCATATAACAAACTACAAAATAGCACCATTGTACTAAAAAAAACACAGAGTTTTACATACTGTTTGATATATTCTGTATTATTGATATGCTAAATTTACATACTGCTCTATATGGAAAAAATAAAAAGAGAGGCGTTACTAATTAGGCTGCACACTAACTCATCATTTGGAGGAAACCTTGAGAGTATAAGGGACTTTCTATGCTTAAAACATACGTGTAAAAATGATTGGCCTCAAAGTTACAACTATTTGCATTTTTCTTTTTAAGCAGGACGTGGAAAAATAAAGCTTTCTGTCTAAAATAAATGCATCCAACTTATATTTGGTACAAATGTCACAGATGGAATCTCGTGGGTTAAAAATGTGTGTGCTACGTGATGCTTGCTGCTGCTACTGAGGAGGCCAGATTCAGCAAATAGAAAGTGATCGAGGGGCAGTGGGGATAGATGAACAAGGTTATCAGACACTGTAAAACAAACAGCCCATGTTGCGTAGAAAGAAGTGCAAATAAGAAACAAAACAAAACCAAAAAAACCCACTTAGACAAGGCTGCTAAGGGATGGCTCCAACAGCCAAGATGAAAGACAAATTTAGTGCAACTGGTCTATAAAACACCCATGCATTTGTGGCTCTTGAGAGGCAGGGACTAAGATACATATACATATATGTAGATATATGTATATATATATATATAGATATATATATATTTCTCTATAGAACATTATTGATAAAGGATCAACAGCAATCTACCAATTCCAGGGCCATAGTTGCAAGGTGCAAAGCTTTTAACAATCACTCCTAAAGACAATGTTGGAATGTTTACTTGCGTATTTCATTGGGGGGAATGCCCATCTTTTGAAATGTTATCAAATGTATTTTTTGGTAGATCTTCCAAGGTTTAACAGGTAATTCATGCAGAGCAAAGGATTCTGCCGGTGGCATGTCATTCTTCACTCCTCGAGAGGCTTTTCCTACATTCTGTAGTTCTTGTTTCCTGTACTCCCTCTACTTGTGTTCTTCAAATGTACTTCCTATAAATAAGGGAGAAAAATAACATTAACTCGATGAAGTTTTATGTAATCGTCTATTTCTAACATTGGATCTGAGCCTTAGCCCTGGTGCTTCTGAGAAGAACATAGATAGTTCTTTAGGAAATACTCGGCCAAACCTCACCCAGCCTGCTTCTGTGCACCCTGGTGACACAGAATCACAGATTGCTTTATAATCATACAAAGATGCCTTCTACTATTCCTTCATGGCTGTCACTAATTCATTGATAGGAAGGGGATCCTGAAAATGTAGTTTTCTGGCCTGTAACATCTTTTCCTAGTGCAGACAATATATAAAACAAAAACCCCCAAACCAGATTCTGGGATCATCTTCTGTCATTTCATTGTGGTTTGTTACCTTAATTTTTGCAGCACACAGATTTTTATTTTATATTTTTTTTCCCTAGCAAGCAGCAGAGTTTTAGAAGAAGAAGATTGGGAAGTTTTGTAATTGATTTAGAAATATTTTTAATCACATTTTTTTTCTATGATACATTAAGCTGGGTTCAAATCTTAGCTCTTCCATTTCCTAGCTGTGTAAATTTGAATAAGTCACAATCTGTACCTCAGTCTCTTCGTCTATAAAAATAGGATAATAATAACACTGCCGTCGAATTGGATCCGACTCATAGCGACTCCTCCTTGGGTTTCCGAGGTAATATCTCTACAGAAGTAGATTGCCAAACTTTCCTTCGGAGGAGTGGCTGGTAGGTTTGAACCGCCAGCCTTCTGGTTAGTAGTCAAATGCCTTAGGCACTACACCACAAGAGGATAATAATAGTATCTACCTTATAAGATTAAGTAATTACGTAAAATCATTACAATATGCCTGGCCTATGGTAAGCACTATGTAAGCATTAGCTATTATTATAATGTATTTGTTCTTCTTTGCATTACTTCATTTCTATTGAAAGGAAACCATCCCTGGACTAAAAACCCTGAATTTCTTACTTTGGTGCTACCAATCACTCAACAAGAAGCAAGCAATGCTGGAGGAAAAAAAAAAAAAAAAAAAGAATCAACAATTTTCCAAGAAATGTTGAGTTTTGTTTAGAATATGTAATATAGGCTCTGTGAGAGCACAAACTTGTCTGTCTGTTCACTGTTCTAGCCCCAGTGTCTAGAAAGGTGCTCACGATATTGCTGTTGTTGTGTTGTTATTTGCCGTCAAGTTGGCCCCGACTCATAGCGACACCTCCTTGGGTTTCTGAGGCAGTATCACTACGGAAGTAGGATTGCCCAACCTTCCTTCCGAGGAGTGGCTGGTGGGTTTGAACCGCCAGCCTTCTGGTTAGCAGTCAAGTGCCTTACCAAAAAATATTTGTAGAATGAATTTAATAGATGAATGAATGAGTATGAGGGGCCCTCTGATGATTTGCAGAACTGTCATCATACTTTGTCTATAGTTATTATTTTATTCTTTAAAAAATATTATTTAAATAGCGAAATTTAATTAGACAAATAAGGAGACTTGAAATAAAATCAAGGAGGACATGGCATTTATATATGTATAAATTTACAGTACTTCTATTGGTTTCATCGATAGCCAGAGCTCTGGAAGGATGGAGTGGACAACTATTAGCATAGACTGAGGTGCAAGGAGCCACAACATCCTTCTTTCCCAGAAAATGTTTCCATCAAGACTGACAAGATTTCTTAATTATAGTGGCTAGAATTCCCAGACTCTTCCTTCTGGCTAAGGTAGTGACCACTGCATATAATCACAATAGTATTAGGAGCTAAGAAACCTTAGAGAGCACTCAGACCTGAGACCCAAGGCCAGAGAGAGTGAGAGGTTTTAATACTGACACTGAAGGAAAATATATTTCCACTTCCTGGAACTAGTGCTATGAACCCATCATTATTTGGCAATCTCCAATACGTAGTTTTCAGTTGCATCTGGAACATTAGAGTCATCACCAGTCCTTCCTATTGTATTTTGTGAGTTGATGGTCAATATGGTATACTGACTGAAGAGAAGAGAGGTGGCACCATTTTGTAAAAATGTTTTATAAAATATCTTGTTGTTGTTGTTATTTGCCATCGAGTTGGCCCCAACTCATAGCAACCCCTCCTTGGGTTTCCAAGGCAGTATCACTACGGAAGTAGGAATGCCCAATATCTAGTTCAGTGTAATCCTCAGCCTTCCTCTCAAGTTGAATGAACTTGAATGTGCTATAAAAGAAAATATGCTTCCTTTGTTGGCCATAGCAAATAGGTTACACTGGCCAACCATATAGATCTTAGCTTTTGTCTCAAAAGAGAATTTTTTTTTTTTTTTCTTCTCAAAGCAGAAGGTGTAAAGTGGGAAGTCTGAGCAGAGGGATCCTCTGGTTTTTCTGGGTCTGTCTCAGCATCACAAAAAAGCTATGGGAAGAAACTCTCTTGTGTAAAACCAACTCTGCACCAACTAGCATGGCTCCCATGCACACACGTATATGGTGGAGGCCATTCAAAACCAGCTGAGATGTCATCTGGTTTGTGTTTGGCTCTCTTCCCAGGCTCTCACATGTGACTTCTTTGTTGCAGAAAATGACAGTGACAAAACAAAAGCACTCAGGGACTTGGTCTCCATTGCATCTGTTGCTTCGCTCATTGTCTTCATTTCATTATGCCAGCCACCCTTGACAGTGGGCTACAAGCGGAGGCATGTTAGAAGCAGCCATCGTAGCTGGCACCCATTTTCAATGAACTTCTTGAAGGGTTATGAAACTGTCCCACATTCAGCCAAGCAAAAACTTTTCACTTCAACAGCTTGTCCAAGACAAATAAACCAGCTGAAACTGTTTCTAGTATGCAACTAGACAGATTTTTGAAAGGAAAACAGTAGTGAGTAAATACTGTTTTCTATTGACACCAGACAAAGTAAGATTATTAAAAAAATATATCTTGGTCTTCCAGGTCACTGGAGTTTGTTGAAGAAATTTATCCTTCTGAAGAAAGAGTTAACCAACTCATGGGTGAATAAGTTTGAGAAGGGCTTAATTTGTGATGTACACTATTATACACTGTGTACTATACACAGATTATTGGGAAGTGAGGAAGACCCTGAAGAGGACATTAACATTCTCCCATTATCTCCTGACTGTTATCCTAGCTCCACACTTTCCTTGGGAAAGCAACCCATAAACTTTTTGACTAAGAGCATCATTGACGGCTAATAACAATGGTCATAATAATAATAATAAACTTGCATAGCACTTGCAGAGTACTTGACATTTTACAAAATGATCTCACCAGATCCTCACGAAACTTTGTGAAGTAGACATTTATCTGTATCAATCTCATTTTTCAAGCTGAGAGTCACTAAGGTTTAGTGGCTTGCTGGAGGTCACATGGGAACAAAGTGATAGATATAGAACTGAAATAATTATAGTTTACATCGTTTGACTATTTATTATATGCTGGGACTATATTATTGCATGTTAATTGTTTATATTTTCTTATTTAATGTTCATTAACAAACTTGGGATGGGTATAGCATCTTGCTCATTTTAGCTTTAAAGAATCTGAATTTTAGAAAGGTTAAACAAATTGCTTTCTTAACATGAAGATGTGACAGTCGTTGGGATCAGCTCTTTTTGATTCTGGAGCCTGCTGTTAGCCACTCTGCTAGACTGCCTTCCCAAAAGGCAGAACAATACTTGGTGCTCCAACTCCAAAGTTTTTTCAGGTAGTGGTAGTCAATATTGCCATGAGCTGCTCATGATCCTCGGTGTTGGATGATATTGGTTTAGAGGGTAGAGACAGAAGGCTCTAAACCAGGAATGTAGCTGCCTCCCTTACCATAGTTACAAACAGAACCCATTTGTATGACAGTTGATAGAGGGCTAGTGGCACAGTATTCATATAGTCCATCTTCTCAAATTATTTGCTCAGTACACAGATTGAATAAATATGGTGAAAAGATACAGCTCTGACAAACACCTTTCCTGATTTTAAACTATGCAGTATCCCCTTATTCTGTCTGAATGATTGCCTCTTGGTCTTGGTACACATTCCACATGAACACAATTAAGTGCTCTGAAATTCCCATTCTTTGCAAAGTTATCCACAGTTTGTTATGATCCACACAGTAGAATGCCTATGCACAGTTAAAAAACAAAAACCCACAGGTAAGCATCTTCCTGATAGTCTCTGTTTTCAGCCAGGATCCAATTGACATCAGCAATGATATCCTTCATGCCATATCCTCTCCTGAATCCAGGTGGAATTTCTGGCAGTTCCCTGTCTATGTACTGCTGCAACCATTTTAAAATTATTTTCAGCAACACTTTACTTGTGTGTGATATTAATGATATTGTTTGGTAATTTTCACATTCTTTTGGATCACCTTTCTATGGAAGCTGGACTATATGAAGAAGAACACAGCATCAGGATTGGAGGAAGACTCATTAACAACCTGTGATAAGCAGATGACACAATCTTGCTAAAAGTGAGGGAACCTGAAGCACTTACTGATGAAGATCAAGGACTACACCTTTCAGTATGGATTACACCTCAACATAAAGAAAACAAAGATCCTCACGACTGGGCCAATAGGCAGGAGAAAAGATTGAAGTTGTCAATGATTTCATATTACTTGTATCCACAATCAACTCCCATGGAAGCAGCAGTCAAGAAATCAAATCACATATTGCATGGCAGATCTGCTGCAAAAGACCTCCTTCCAGTTTTAAAGAGCAAAGATGTTACTTGAAGACTAAGGTGTGCCTGACCCACGCCATGGTAATTTTCATTGCCTCATATGCAATCAAAAGCTGGACAGTGAATAAAGGAGACTGAAGAAGAATTGATGCGTTTGAAATATGGTATTGGCAACGTACATTGAATATACCATGGACTTCCAGAAGAACAAACAGATCTGTTTTGGAAGAGTTATAGCCAGAATGCTTCTCAGAAGTGAGGATGGTGAGACTTAGCCTCATGTACTTTGGTCATGTGATCAGGAGGGACCAATTCCCAGAGAAGGACGCCATGCT